CTTTGTGCTTTTACTACTAAAGCGTGCATCTCAAACACTATGGTTTATTTGCACATTTATGGATGCTATGTAAAATGGAATTAAAGTATGTGTATTCAGTTATGTGGAAGATTAATCTGTGCTATTGTGTATCACTTTGGCTCACTTCTTTTTCTATATAATATTCCATTCCAGTGCACGGAATACCACAAGCTATTCGTTCATTCTACAATGTACTTTTGATTTGTTCCATTTTTAAAATAAATAATGGTACCTTGAATGTTCTTATGCATATATCTGTGCATTCATTTCTCTAGGGAATATACCTACAAATATAATTGCTGAGACCTAGAGCATGTATATCTTCAACTTTAGTAAATAATTCGAGATTGTGTTCTTGAGAAGTGTACCAATTTACCCTCCTGCTGGCAGTGTATGAGGGTTCCTATTCTTTAGCACCCTTAACACAGGAAATTTTCAGTCTTTTCCATTTTAGCCTTTCTGCTGGATAGCTCATTGTGGTTTTAATCTACATTTCCCTAATTTTTAATGAGGCTGAATTTTTTCATATTGTTATTGATATTTTGATACCCTTTTTTGTGAACTGACTGCTCAAATCTTTTGTCCATTTTTCTAATGTGTAATTTGTGTTTTTATTATTGATTCATAGAAGTTCAGTCTGCATTCTGAAAATGAGCGCTTTCTTAATTACATGAGTTGTAAACATCTTCTACCACTTGGTGGCTTGCCTTTCCACTCTCTTTACGGTGTCTTTTCTCTCGTTTTGTTTTCTAGAAAAATAGTGTTACAAAATCCTATAAACCTGTCGTATAGCTTTGATCATTATCAACAGTTCGTCCTTATCTTTATGCTGTCTGCAAGAGAGGTCTTAATTTTAGGGTTTTGAAATTTACAGTTCCTTTCTTTTATAGTTAGTGTTTTTTGTGTCCCCCAAATTCTTATGCAGAAGCCCTAACTGGCAATGGGAGTGTCTGTGAAAGCAGAACTTTAAGGGATGATTAGGTTAGATGAGGTCATAAGGGTGGGGCCCTAATCTGATAGGACTGGTGGCCTCACAAGCAGAGAACAAGAGGACTCTCTCTCCTCCTGCACACACCAAGAAATGGGGGGCCGGGGGCCAGGACCTGGAGTAGGAGAAGGCTTGTTTTACTGACTCACACTGCAGTATGCTATGCTGTAAGTCGGGGTACACCACTGACTTCATTTGTACTTAGTTATGCTGGTGAACGCAAGAAGATGCATTCTGGGTTCATCTTTCTTGAGGGGAATGTTGGTTGTAAGTAAAGAAAGTTAAATGACTCATTAATCTGCTCATTGGTTGCCTATGAAATCAGACTGGCTGTTATCAAAGCTTTTCGCCATGAAAAGAGAATCTCTGTTCTGTGGCCAGCTGTCTGTGGGACTTTGCTGTGGCAGCCCAGCTGAGAAAAGCAGTCCCAGGGGCAGGGGCAACAGGACTTCTCTTGGAGCAACCTTTTAAATGATGTCCTGCGTTTTGTAAAAGTGCATGGAGCCCCAGCAGCTGAATCAGGACGCTGCAGGAGAGCCCTACGCCCTGTGGTTGGGTGTCCCCGCAGGCACTCTCCCTGGCTAGGGAGGCTGGAGAGGTGACTGCTTGTCCTGGTCCAGCTCTGAGGAGGTCTGGCAACATCTCTTCATCCAGACCCTGTTCCCTTTCCTCATCCTCGAAGTCCTAGCCTCAGGCTGCTTTTATTTCGGGTGGTGGGGGCGGGGGCGTGAGGGAAGAGGACAGCATCTCGCTCTGTTGCCCAGGTTGGAGTGCAGTGGCACCATCTTAACTCACTGCATTTTTGACTTCCTGGGCTCAGGGGATCCTCCCACCTCAGCCTCCTGAGTAGCTGAAACCACAGGCGTGCACCACCATGCCTGGCTAATTTTTGTATTTTTTGCAGAGACAAGGTCTTGCTATCTTGCTCAGGCTGTTCTCAAACCCCCAAGCTCAGGCAATCTTCCGCCTCCGCCTCCGCCTCCCACAGTGCTGGGACCACAGGCAGGAGCCACGGCACCTGGCCTGCTTCGTTCCCGGCTGATGGGTCTCCCAGCATCACCAGGCCTTGCGGTGGCAGCAGCGCCTCTGGTGACCATGGCTGGAAAAGCTGGTCCTCGGGCAGTACGTCATAGGGAGGCCGAGCACTGAAGAGCACAGTGAGGAGGCCAGCGATCAACAGGGAAGGCTGGAGGGAGGTGACGCTGGGTCTCGGTGACAGCCAAGGCCCAAACTCCTGCCCCGCTGCCATGAGGGGCTTGTGGCTCCTCTTGGGGGTGTGAGGGCACTTGGGAGCAGCAGGCTAGTGGGGCTTGCTTCCCAGACACACCCCACATTACTCCACACAGGACATTCTGGGAGGGATCGGGTAGGCTTCCCAGGTACAGACCCCGTGCTTTTCAACATCGCTGTGCCAGAGTCCATGCTAGACGCACCGGTTCACCCACAAAACATGTTCCCAACAAAAGAGAGAGTGGAATATGTCTAAATCCCAAACCTGGGACTGGAAGCTTAGCCATTATACAAACCTGGGAACATAGAGCTTTAAACTAATTTTGCAACTGGAACCGTGTGGTTGTTAAAGGTGGGGGCTGGTCTGGAGGAGACACGGAATGGCCCAGCCCTGGGGTTGGACGTGTGGACACAAGCTGAAGGCAGCAGCCCAGCTTTTACTTTCCTGTGTGCTTGCTAATGGCAGCAGCTGCAGCTGAAATCACAGAAGGCTGCAAGGGTTTTCCAAGCCACAGGCCTCTGGGCGGCGTGGCGTGGGGCCTCTGGGCGGCGTGGCGTGGGAACTCTGGGCAGCGAGGCGTGGGAACTCTGGGCGGCGAGTCGTGGGAACTCTGGGCGGCGAGGCGTGGGAACTCTGGGCGGCATGGCCTGGGGCCTCTGGGTGGCAAGGCGTGGGAACTTTGGGCAACGAGGCGTGGGAACTCTGGGTGGCGTGGCGTGGGGCCTCTGGGCGGCGTGGCCTAGGGCCTCGGCCTCCTCGCCTCTTCTCACGTGTGCGACGTGCACTGTGGCCTCTGCCACTGCATGGGGCTGAACGAATTATCCGAATGTTCCCGCCTGTCTCAATCTTTGTTTCCGGGCCCCTCTGCCACTTATTCTCTTGCTTCTCAACTCCAAGTCCTCAGCCACCCCCTCCCAGTCTCCTTACTTCTGCTCAGCCCCCTCATGTGGGGGTTCCTGGGGCTCCGTCCTCACCACCTGTCCACACCCTCGGCCCCAGGGAGCTCCTGCACCCCACGGCTTTAAACACCACCATGGTGATCCCACCTCAGCTTTCCTCCCACCCTGGCCTCTTTCCTCAGTTCCAGGCTCACGAATCATGAAGCCTCTGCTTTCCTGCGTCCAAACCTCACCTCTTGGCTTCTGCCCTCCTTGACCTGCTCAGCTCTGTCTCTGGTCCTCGTTTTCTCAGGGAATGCCCCAGCAGTGATGCCATCCTCCATGCCCACAGACCAGTCTCCATCAGGCCTAAAATCCTGCCACTCCCTCTCCTTCTCCAGCCCCCTGCTCACAGGTGTGTGCGCCTCCCTCCTACAGGGTGAAAACCCCCTGCCAGTCCCCCTGCTGCTGCCCCTGCTTCCTGGTGGTCTGTCCTTGGTCATGCCAAGCTGTCAGGCCTGTTCCTGACAGGGAAGGGCCCACCCACCTCCCAAGCCCACTCGTGTAGTCCTTTTCAATGTCAGGCTTAGGGCCTTGTGCCAGCTAAGCTCCCCACCCTTCCCACTGTTAAAACGGATAGCAGCCGGGCTAGACCCAGCCTGCTGACTCTGGGCTCCCACCAGGAGAGGTGGCCCTGGCAGTACAAACTATAGGGGCCTGGGGGGTGGGGAAAGAGAGAAAGTGGCAGGTTTCTTGCTCGCTCCCTCTGCCATTCTTGCCCAAATCCCTGCAGCCACCCTAATCCAGTCTGTCTAATGGAGCCCAAGCCGGCTCAGGCCTCGTATGAGAAGCCGGCTAATCCCTGTGGCTAGGAGGTCACCACCTGTCTCCAGGATGCCCTTTGCTCTCTTGGCATCAGAGAGCCAAATCCTGGGCCTCAGAGGGGAGCGATGGTAAAGGCATCTTTTGGCCAAGCCCCCTCACCTTGGCCCCCACGATGAGACGCGGAAAGTTAGGTACCGAGAGCCTCACGCAGTGCATGCCACAGCTCGAGTCGCTGCCTCAGACCCAAAGCCCAGGGAGGCTTTAGACACAGACAGAACAACCCATGGGGACTCCATCTTCCCAGGCAAGAGCGGGCAGTGGGAGCTGCCGGGAGAGGCGGCCCTCCCCTCCCCCCATCAAGGGCAGTGGGCGCTGGCGGTTTCATGCCATTCTGGGTGCGAATCCCGATGCCCACACATGCCAGTTGCATGCCCTTGGGCATGGCAACTCACTCCTCAAGAGCTGTTTCCCGACTGCAGGGTGTGGTAAGTTCGCCCATATTTAAAGGCTGCTCGCTCCGGGCCCCTCCCTGCCCCTTGCTCTTCCTCCTGCTGCTTAGGCCGTCCCAGCTCAGGCAGCCCCTGCGCCCTGCAGGGTTTTGCAAGGAGAAAGCCGGGCAGTACCTTAGGTAACTGCCATCAAGAGCACTGGCAGACAGGACAGAGGGAGAGAGACAGAAAGGCGTTAGGGACACAGAGAGATAACGTCAGGGAGAGACAGGAAGGGACAGAGGAAGATTTCCAAGAAGAGGACAGCGACAAGAAAGCCAGAGGCGGGGACTGAGGAGCAAGGAGACCTGGAGGCGGAGGCAGAGACGGAGAGACGGACAGAGGCTCCGTGTCAGACACAGCCGCAGCCAGACAGCCGGAGTCGGGGTCGGACACAAACCAGAGACAGGAAACCAGGAGACAGACCCAGAGATTAGGAGAGGGAGGGGACCGGGCTTCAGGGAGGGCCAGCGCCGCCGCCCCCACGCTCAGGAGGGGTCTCCACCCTCTGAGTGGCCTCTCGTCCCTCCCCAGAATCCTTAAATCCTCTGTCGCTCAGGACCTCGGTGGCATCTGTCATAGACTTGTCCTGAACCCATAGCGGCTGGCGCAGGTGACTGGCTGGGCTGGGGAGGGAGCCTGGGTGTTCGCTGGGGATGGACCTCGAGGAAGAGGGGCCAGGCCGTCAGGAGGTGGGGGGCCTGGAGGGGTGGAGGCGGTGGTCGGGCGGGACCCCAGGCGATCGGGTTCAGCGCCGGTGAGAGCGAGACGGACGCCTGGGCAGGCCAGCTGCGCTAACTCCCCAGAGCCAAAGTGGAAGGCGCGCCCGGAGCGCCTTCTCCCCCGGACCCCGGTGTCCCTCCCGGCGCCCTGAGCCCGCGCCCTCCTTCCCCCAGCCCTCAGAGCGTTCCCCACCCCTCTGTCTTCCCGCAGCCCGCTAGACGAGCCGATGGCGCGGCCCGGGAGCGCCCGGGAGCCGCTGCTCGTGGCGCTGCTGGCCCTGGCGTGCTTGGCGCAGGCGGGCCTGGCGCGCGCCGCGGGCTCGGTGCGCCTGGCGGGCGGCCTGACGCTGGGCGGCCTGTTCCCGGTGCACGCGCGGGGCGCGGCGGGCCGGGCGTGCGGGCCGCTGAAGAAGGAGCAGGGCGTGCACCGGCTGGAGGCCATGCTGTACGCGCTGGACCGCGTCAACGCCGACCCCGAGCTGCTGCCCGGCGTGCGCCTGGGCGCGCGGCTGCTGGACACCTGCTCGCGGGACACCTACGCGCTGGAGCAGGCGCTGAGCTTCGTGCAGGCGCTGATCCGCGGCCGCGGCGACGGCGACGAGGTGGGCGTGCGCTGCCCGGGAGGCGTCCCTCCGCTGCGCACCGCGCCCCCTGAGCGCGTCGTGGCCGTCGTGGGCGCCTCGGCCAGCTCCGTCTCCATCATGGTCGCCAACGTTCTGCGCCTGTTTGCGGTGAGGGCCGTGTGGCCGAGAGAGTCTCTCTCCCTTCCTCGCCCTGGGGTGGCCCGAGTCTCCTTTCTTTACTTCTGGAAGAGTCTCCGTTTTAATCACGCGAATTCACACAGCGTCAAAGAAATCCTGTTCGCTGGGCCCGACGCAGGACTGAATCGGATCCACCCGACCACTGTAGCCGCCCTTGTCTACCCGGTCCCGCAAGGGCGCCCCTTCCCCGGCGGGTGCCACCTACGCCTAAGCCGGTTGGTTGGGGAGGGCGGCCTGGACTTCAGTCCCCATTTGCCGGCCTGCTCGGGTGTCCTTGTTCTGGGCACACCCCCTGCAACCACGCTAGGTGCTCCTGCCTCCTGGACCTCGTAGGCTCGAGTGATGAACTTGAGTTTTCTTTGGAACGGGGCCCTTCTTCCAGAGCAGCAACTGGGACGTGTCCTTGAGCTGCTGTGGAGGGTAGATAGGCCCGAAAGGTCTGGTCCTTCTCTTTTTTGATCATTTAAATTCATTCTCAAAATGTCTGCCTTGAACCCTCCCTCAAGGGGCGTCCAAGAGCGGGGTGGGCTGTTCCTTTCTGAGCGCCGGTGTCCTGCACCCTGCCGTGTGCAGGTACCCAGGCTGGCCCGGCCCGGTCCTCAAATGTAGGGAACTGTCCTGTGAGGGACAGCGTGTTCCTTGCAGTTCTAGGGGCCAGAGGAATTGGGATTAGGGGGCTTTGGCATATGAGTTTGGGAGTTTTCGATTTGGTCATTAACTGGGGGTTGTGGGACCGTTTTTCTGGAGTTCCGTCGGGGCGGGGGGCGGGGAGGAAGCACCGTTTGCATGCGGCCGTCTGTGAAGTAGGAGGGCCTAGCTTCCATCTGCCTAGGAGAGGAACTTCTGTTTCCTGAGAGTTTCTCCGACTCTCCCGGGAGCAGCGTCTGCGTTTGCTCCACGCAGGCTGGGCTGCTCCCCATCGGCTGAGCACATGGAAGCCCCCATCCCCGTTTCCTCGGGTGGGCAGTGTTAATGCGGCCAGACACACACCTCCATGCTGGCACCAGAGAGGCTGTGCTGCGGCCCAGGGGTTTTTCAGCCGCTCGTGTGCGTCCCCGGCCCTGCCCAGAGCTCGAGTTTCTGTCTCTGTCGTCTAGATGGAATGCAGAGATCCCAAACCCCAGGGCTTTCAAAGGGCCCAGTTGGGGACTCAAGGGGGCAGGACCCTGTGAGCCCAGGGCTTGCTGCTGCCATCTCAGCCCAGGCTGAGGTGGCGCTGCGGGGCTAGAAATGCAAACATTAAAACAATAAAAACTGTGGGAACGACAGCCGCAGGCAAGATGCTGCAGTTCCTGGTCTAAAAGAAACAATACAGTCATTTCCCGGCCGCCCTGTGCTGGCAGGCATCTTCAGGCAACTTCCCTGAGGAACGTTCTTCCCAAACTCAAGTGTCCCGGAGAGCTAAGAGGACCACACCATTGCTCACTGAGCTGTGGCCGTGGGGACTGCCTTGCCTCCTGTTCTCCTGGGTTTTTTCTCTCTCTCTCTCTCACCTTCTTGTTTCTCTCCACTACCACCTTCGCTCCTGTCTCTCTCCCTGCCCCTCCCTGCTTCCTTTTCATGCTGCCTCCACACCTTCTATCCTGTTTCTGACAACCCTGGGCCAGCCCCGCCTCCCCTTCTAAAACCTCTGTGCCTCTGGCCTTCACACTAGCTCCTGCTGTAGCCCCTCTGCCCTGGAGCCCCGGAGCCCCCTCTTGCCTGTCTTCTCAGCCCCGTGCCTCCGCCTCCACACTCCCTGGTCACTTCAGCCTCTGATCTCTGCTGTTAATCACTCTAATGCACGCAGAGAAACCCAGTTTTCAACAAACCCGATCCTAGGCCAGACGAAGCCTTAAATCAAACACCTGCCGCTGCTCCCCCGTCTGCCCTAATCCCTCTTCGAGCTGCTCGCCCCTGCAGACCGCCCCTTGGTGTGAATCAGGAATATGTACTTTCCCCTGGGGCTGATTAGGACACGCAGATGCAGCTGGATGGGCTGCAGGTCCTCTGCTGGGGGTTCTTGCTCGGGACACAGCTTGTACTACTGCACGTGGCCGTTCTGCCCCCTCCCCTGGACCTGCATACCTCCCACGTTCACAACCTTCACAGAGTTCTCAGGCCCACTCACAAAACGCAGACCTTGCCCCACACCTTCTGGCCTTTCCAGGTGGCTGCTCCAGGTGGCCCCAGGTCCCCACCCCAAACCTCCCATGCCCCATCTGTGTCCCAGGTCCCTGCCCCCCACACCGTCTGTGCCCCGTGCATGTCCTGGGCCCCCCTTGCCCTCCCTCTATCGAGTTACTGACCTCCATCCACAGCCCAGCTGTCCTTCCTGCCCCCAGATACCCCAGATCAGCTATGCCTCCACAGCCCCGGAGCTCAGCGACTCCACGCGCTATGACTTCTTCTCCCGGGTGGTGCCACCTGACTCCTACCAGGCCCAGGCCATGGTGGACATCGTGAGGGCCCTGGGATGGAACTATGTGTCCACGCTGGCCTCTGAGGGCAACTATGGCGAAAGCGGGGTTGAGGCCTTTGTTCAGATCTCCCGAGAGGCTGGTGAGCTGGGGACTCCAAGGCACCAAGGGGTCTACAGAGGGTGGGCCCAGGGCCCTTGGGTGGGGCAGAAGCAGGGAGATGAGGGCCTGGGTCCATGGTGGGCTCCAGGGCCAAGGTGGCCTGGCTGGTGCTCCATGTGGGCAGGGCCTCTCCTTTGGAGGACTCAGCCCTGCCTCAAGCCTGGCGGATGGTGCAGGCCAGATTTCACCCCTGCAGACCCCGCAGCCAGGGTACACAGCCCTACCAGGTGGGTGTGTGGGTGGGTGCGACAGAAGCTGACTTTGGCACCCCCAACACCCAGGGGGGGTCTGTATTGCCCAGTCCATCAAGATTCCCAGGGAACCAAAGCCAGGGGAGTTCAACAAGGTGATCAGGAGACTCATGGAGACGCCCAACGCCCGGGGCATCATCATCTTTGCTAATGAGGATGACATCAGGTGGGACAGCGGCACCATCGCTGGGCCCCAAGGGCTCTCCCTGAGGGTCCCGCCCCTGCTCTTGCACGTCACTGCCTTACACACACCCTCCCTGCCTCCCTTTCCCCTGCTCCCCGCACCCTGGACCTTCCCTGCTGCTGGCTGTGAGTCGGGTGCCCCCAGCGGCGAAGCAGCCTTGTCTGGGGAGATGCCATAAACCCAGACCGAGTAGCACACAGAACTGGGGTCTGTGTTTACAGCTCCTGGGTGTGGGGAGGGACCTGAAGGAGGAGCTGAGGGCAGAAAACGGGCTGTTAGGGAAGGAGCCCAGGGTCCATACAGAGGCTGCGGACCTCGGCCCGAAACCCACTGGCCCTGAGCTCATATCCAGCCTGGGAGGGTGCGACGTTGGCAGAGGTGTGTGGGGCAGGGGTGGCTTCTAACTGGATTTTCCCCCAAGAAGTTCCCCCCCTACAGTGGGTTACAGTGAGCAGAGCAAGTGGGCAGGCCTGGGGTCAGAGGTAAGCCCAGGGAAAGTGTGCCAAATGCCTCAAGCCCCATGTTTCCTGAGAAACAAGGATCTGGTGAGCGTTTGTGGAGCAGGGGAGATGGACAGAGTGGGAAGGAGCCAGGGCCAAGCGGGAAGAGGTTCCCAGACCCTCCGTCACCACAGCCCTGTTCCTACCAGGCGGGTCCTAGAGGCAGCTCGCCAGGCCAACCTGACCGGCCACTTCCTGTGGGTGGGCTCAGACAGCTGGGGAGCCAAGACCTCGCCTATCCTGAGCCTGGAGGACGTGGCCGTTGGGGCCATCACCATCCTCCCCAAAAGGGCCTCCATTGACGGTGAGTCCAGGGGCACTGAGTTCCCCAGCCCACGTGTCTCCCCAGCACCCCCTCTTGGGGATGCTCTTTTCTGCATCGCGTAATTGGTGTGATAATCCAGGTCCCTTCTCAGATCCCCAGATCCCATGATTCTGATCATCTGTGGACACATCCCTCCAAGCCGTGCTTAAATGGGATGGCGTGAGGAAAAGCACACTCCACTCACTGGACAGGGGAAGAATTATTGGTTTTTGGTTTTGTTTTGAAATTTAGTGCCTGTATTTCTAGTTCTGCCAAATACATTCTAATCTGAGGGTGAGGGTGGGAGGGAGAGAAACCCAGGCTGTGGACTATACCACCCTGTTGATCACAGTCATGCGGCCCTTGCACCCCCAGTCCCACCTGTGGATCTGGATGAATCCAGCAGGGACCGGCGGATCACCTTACAATAGGATTGTTCATTTTCCCCAAGGCTGGACTGAGGACGCCTTGATGACACCCGTCAGGGCTATTTTATGAAACACAGACCCTGGAAACGGGGAGCCCTGGGTGCTAGGACTTCCCAGTCTTAGGGGGATATACACCATCACACCAGCTACGATGCATTTGGGTGCCAGCGACAGCCTGGACTGAGGGCAGTTTTAGTGATAAAGGCATCTCATCACAAAACAAGCGGTCTAAGAGTTGGCAACTTCAGGCGTGGGGCAGTGAGTGAGTGACACTCTCAAAGCCCTGGGCTCTGTCCATTCTTTTGTTCCACCATTTCCTGTGGTTGCCTTATGTCTTCCTGCTTGTGGTCTCATAGTCACAAGATGGCTGCTGAGGCACCACCCATTATGTCTTCACAGCAGCATCCTAACAGGAAAGAAGGAGCAGGGATAAAAAGGCTTTCAACTGGTGAGGCTCTGAGCTTGCATTAGCATGTAAATCCTACCCTGGAACCCCCAGTTGGCTCTGAGTCCGCCAATCGGAACTTGGTCACGTGGCCACTCCTAGCTGCAAAGTGAGCATGTGGCAGAGAGACACAGGAGGAACACAGCTGGCTTGGGTCACCACCACCCTCCCCCTCCTTCCCTTTCTGTAGGTTTTGACCAGTACTTCATGACTCGATCCCTGGAGAACAACCGCAGGAACATCTGGTTCGCCGAGTTCTGGGAGGAGAATTTTAACTGCAAACTGACCGGCTCAGGTACCCAGTCAGATGATTCCACCCGCAAATGCACAGGTGAGAGCTGCCCAGGGTGGCAAGGGTGGGGAGAGGGAAGGTGGGAGGCCGGGTTGGGTGCATGGGGGCCGGGCACGCTTTCTCTGGGCATCCCTAGGACAGGCGAGGAACGCATCGGCCGGGACTCCACCTACGAGCAGGAGGGCAAGGTGCAGTTTGTGATCGATGCGGTGTATGCCATTGCCCACGCCCTCCACAGCATGCACCAGGCACTCTGCCCCGGGCACACAGGCCTGTGCCCGGCGATGGAACCCGCCGACGGGCGCACACTGCTGCAGTATATCCGAGCTGTTCGCTTCAATGGTGAGTGGGTCTGCACACCTGCAGCAGTGAAGACAGCAGGCAGGATGGCTTTGCCTGTGGAGGCTGGGATGACCTCCGGGTGAAAGCTCTGGTAGGGGCTGCGTCGTCGAGTCGGGGCGCCTGGGGCTGAGTGTCAGAAACTTGAGACAAGTTCCGGTCCCCACTTTTTTTTTTTTTTTTTTTTTCGAGACAGAGTTTCGCTCTGTTACCCAGGCTGGAGTGCAATGGCGCGATCTCGGCTCACCGCAACCTCCGCCTCCTGGGTTCAGGCAATTCTCCTGCCTCAGCCTCCTGAGTAGCTGGGATTACAGGCACGTGCCACCATGCCCAGCTAATTTTTTTTTTTTTTTTTTTTTTGTATTTTTAGTAGAGACGGGGTTTCACCACGTTGACCAGGATGGTCTCGATCTCCTGACCTCGTGATCCTCCCGCCTCGGCCTCCCAAAGTGCTGGGATGACAGGCTTGAGCCACCGCGCCCGGCCCCGGTCCCCACTTTTTAACATGACTCCCTCTCAGGCTTCAGTGTTCCCCCGGCTGTTTTGCACATTCAGACGCTGGGGAGTTTCTCTGTGAGCGCTTCTGCCTGGAACCCTCAGTGGATCACACAGCACTCCCCTCCACTGCGCAGAGCTTGAGGCCATGTGGACTCTGGGGGCGCACGTGGGGCGAAGTTAAGACTGCGTGGGGGGCCCACCCAGGGACTCACTGCCCTCTCTGTGTCATACGCTAGGTACAGGTGTGGGTCTGATGTGTCCCTTGGCACCAGCCTTGGTGTGTGGTCAGGGCTCCAAATTGCGTCTTCTGAGAAGACGCCGGTGGGCTCAAGCTGTGTCCACAGTTTGTGGAGAGATGACTTTCTGTTCAGTTACTATCCTTTACACAGTTCAAAACTCCGCTCTTCCACTAAACACTCACTCGCCACCTTCTCTCCGCCATGCTCTCTGCTAATCATTTCAGCTTAGTATTACTCCGGAGCCCTTCTGTAGGCTGATGGAACAAGCTGGTAAGAAAAATGGAGCTCGTTGTTCCGGTCATTCCGATTTCATACTATCCCTCAGACCTCTCTCCATGTCTGAACTCATCCCCTAGCCTGGACAGTGAAACTTTTTTCATTTTTAATTGTGATAAAATACACATAATAGAAAATGTATCACCTTAACCATTTTGTTTTGTTTTGTTTTGTTTTTCAAGGAATATTTAATAACAAGGTAGGCAACATATGCTTATCTAACATGGAATTTTATGTCACTGCTGCTAAAGCAAAACATCCTGTTCACTGGGTGAAAGACCTGCTTTATGTGTGTACACTTCAGTGCAATTAAAAAAATACTGTAATTATAATTTCAGAGCTTCTGAATTTCAACAGATGCCAGTATTCTCTTTTTTCATATGGGAAAAATCCTTTGAAAATCATTTGAAGCTTGGACAAAAATTCCACAGCTGTATTCCTCAGGATCACTCTGCAGAGAATTCAGTCGTGTTAAATACATTCAGGCCCCACACAGTGGCTCACTCCTGTAATCTCAGCGTTTTGGGAGGCCGAGGTGGGCAGATCACTGCAAGTCAGCAGTTCAAGACCAGCCTGGCCAACATGGTGAAACCTTGTCTCTACTAAAAATACAAAATTTTTTTAGTTACTCTACTGAAAATACAAAAAGTTTTAAATTGTGTAAAGGATAATAAAAAATTAGCTGGGCATGGTGGCAGGCACCTGTAATCCCAGCCACTCAGGAGGCTGAGACAAGAAAACTGCTCGAACCTGGGAGGCAGAGGTTGTGGTGAGCCAGGATCACACCACCGCACTCCAGCTGGGCGGCAGAGTGAGAGTCTGTCTCAAAAATTAAAAAAAAAAAAAAAAAAAATCCGAATGTCGTGCAGCCGTCACCACCATCCATCCCCAGAACTCTTCATCTATGAAACCAACACTCTGTACACAGTGAACGACTTCCCACGTCCTCCTCCCACCAGCCCTGCAACCACCATTCCACTGCCCCTCTTTATGAATTCTCTCCCCTCGGTACCTCCTGTGGTAGCATCAGACAGTATCTGCCCACGTGTGACTGGCTTGTTTCACTAAGCACCATGTCCTCAGGGCCCATCTATTTTATAGCATGGGTCAGAACTCCCTTTTGGAGGCTGAATCGCGTCCCACTGTATGAATGGGCCCCATTTGGGCCATTCATACAGTGGACATTCGGGTTGCTCTCACTATGTGAATAATGCTGCTATGGACGCGGCTGTACAAGTATTTCTTTGCCACTCTGCTTTCTAGTCTTTTGGGTATCTGCCCGGGAGTAGAATTGCTGGGGAATGTGTTTAATTGTTTGAGGAGGCAGCTTTCTGCAGCAGCTGCAGCCTTTTCCCATCCACCGTGCCCAGGGGCTCTGATTTCTCCGCACACTCACAGCACTTGTTATTTTCTGGTTCTTGGATAGAAGCCACCCCAGTGGGTGAAGGGGGATCTCCCTGTGGCTTGGATTTGCACCTCCCTTATGAGGAGTGGTGTTCATTAAGCCCCTCCTTTCTCCTGCTGGCCCTTGGGGCCTCCCCAGGAGGCCAGCTCTGCTGGGCTGGAGGACCAACGAGGATGCCGGGCTCTCCTTCCAGGCAGCGCGGGCACCCCTGTGATGTTCAACGAGAACGGAGATGCGCCTGGGCGGTACGACATCTTCCAGTACCAGGCGACCAACGGCAGTGCCAGCAGTGGCGGGTACCAGGCAGTGGGCCAGTGGGCAGAGACCCTCAGACTGGATGTGAGTGTGAAGACTGGGCCCCGGGTGGGCATGGGCCGGGGATCCCGGAGGCAGAGGCCACCAGCCTGTGTTTTGTGCATCCCAGGTGGAGGCCCTGCAGTGGTCTGGTGACCCCCACGAGCTGCCCTCGTCTCTGTGCAGCCTCCCCTGCGGGCCAGGGGAGCGGAAGAAGATGGTGAAGGGCGTTCCCTGCTGTTGGCATTGCGAGGCCTGTGATGGGTACCGCTTCCAGGTGGATGAGTTCACGTGCGAGGCCTGTCCTCGTGACATGAGGCCCACGCCCAACCACACGGGCTGCCGCCCCACGCCTGTGGTGCGCCTGAGCTGGTCCTCCCCCTGGGCAGCCCCGCCCCTCCTCCTGGCCGTGCTGGGCATTATGGCCACCACCACGGTGGTGGCCACCTTCGTGCGGCACAACAACACGCCCATCGTCCGGGCCTCGGGCCGAGAGCTCAGCTACGTCCTCCTCACTGGTATCTTCCTTATCTATGCCATCACCTTCCTCATGGTGGCTGAGCCCGGGGCCACGGTCTGTGCCGCCCGCAGGCTCCTCCTGGGCCTGGGAACGACCCTCAGCTACTCTGCCCTGCTCACCAAGACCAACCGGATCTACCGCATCTTCGAGCAGGGCAAGCGCTCGGTCACACCCCCTCCGTTCATCAGCCCCACCTCACAGCTGGCCATCACCTTCAGCCTCACCTCCTTGCAGGTGGGTCCGTGGGCTCCCAGGAGCCAGGGCAGGGAGAGGGACTGTCCTCAACTTTAAAAAGCAGACAAGGCCAGGCACAGTGGCTCACTCCCGTAATCCCAGCACCTTGGGAGGCTGAGGTGGGTGGATCACCTGAGTCCAGGAGTTTGAGATCAGTCTGGGCAACAGGGCATAAGCCTGTCCCTACAAAAAATATGAAACTTAGCCGGGCATGGTGGTGCGTGCCTGTGGGCCCAGCTACTCGGGAGGCTGAGATGGGAGGATTGCTTGAGCCCAAGAGTTCAAGGTTGCTGTGAGCCAAGATTGCACCACTGCACTCCACCCTGGGCGTCAGAGGAGAACCTATCTCAAAACCGAAAGAGAAATGTTGCTTCTAGAGTCACTCTTTTCTATTTTGGCTCCTGTGTTTTGTTGTTTTATTTTTAAAGGCCACAGGAAAGGGAACCCCCCTCACTCCTGTATGACAGCGGCTCAGTTAGGGCGGCCACCTTCCCTGCCGGGTCTTTGAAGGAACACGGGGCAGTAAGGTGCGGAGTGTGGGCCTCAGGGATCTGTCCGTACCGCAGTGAAGTTATTTTTTAAACCGAACGTGCTCTTCCACAATTTGGCTCACATACGGAAATGGGACAAGGAGCTACCTGAGCGGTTTTCCTGTTTCCACAAGGGAGTCCCTGCTGCCCTGTTCACCGGGGCAGTGTGGATGAGAGGCGCCGGGTCCAACATTTTACTGTGGAGTGGGGCATCGAATTCCAGCCAGTGGCCGGTGTTTCATGCTGGGCTGTGCATTAAAAAGTGGCGCTCCTTTGGGGGATTTTCCTAAGACAGTAACATTACAGCCTTGGAGACTGCTTCTGGAGTCTGGGAGGCCCTGGATGTTTTCTGTGGGAAGGATACAAGAGACAGATGGCTTGGGGAGGGCGACTTGGTGTGACATTGCAGGGCCAGCGGGGTTCTCAGGGCCAGGTGGAGGGTGGCCTCCGTGCCAACACCTGCTCATTTGGACCTGGCACTCTCCGCTCCCAGCGAGCCCCTTCTCTACTGGTTCCACACACGCCACGTGCCTTGGTTTATGCAGTTCTTCGTGACTGGGAGGTACTCCCGTCTTCCTCCAGATAACAGAGCCTGAGTGTCCCCTGGTCAGGCCCGGGTCTCCATGTGCCACACATCCTGAGAAGGTGCGGCCTGAGGTGCTCCATGCCCCCCCCACCCCCAGGTGGAGATGCTTAAACCACGTTTGGGACCCCCAGCTCTCCTCCCCAGCCCGAGCCATTACCCGACCCACACTATACCCTCCTTTCCAGAGAAACGGATCTTTAAACAAACGCAAACTTGCAACTGGACTAGGTGTTTTTGCCATGACTACCACATCATGATGGATGTGAAATGGCCTCTCATTGTGGTTTTAATTTGCCTGCAGTGAATACTGGTGCACCTGGCCCTGGGGCTTTCCTCTCCTGTGCTTGGCCTGTTCCTGTCCTTTGCTCATTTTTTGTTCTTTTGCAGGAGTCCATTCCTGAGTGAGGCATGCTCGCCCACTCTGTCCCATGGCCTGCAGCGCCTGTGGGCACGTTTTGGTTGTTATCAGTCCCGTGGTCTCACAGGCGCATTTTGGTTGTTATCGGTCCCGTGGCCTGCAGCGCCCATGGGCACGCTTTAGTTGTTATCAGTCCCATGGCCTGCAGTGCCCGTGGGCACGTTTTGGTTGTTATCAGTCCCGTGGCCTCACGGGCACATTTTGTTTGTTATCAGTCCCATGGCCTGCAGCGCCCGTGGGCACGCTTTAGTTGTTATCAGTCCCGTGGCCTGCAGTGTCCGTGGGCACATTCTGGTTGTTATCAGTCCCGTGGCCTCACGGGTGCGTTTTGGTTATCAGTCCCGTGGCCTGCAGCACCCGTAGGCACGCTTTAGTTGTTATCAGTCCCGTGGGCACCCTTTGGTTGTTATCAGTCCCGTGGCCTGCAGCGCCTGTGGCCATGCTTTGGTTACCAGTCCCGTGGCCTGAGGCGCCCGTGGGCGCGCTTTGGTTGTTATCAGTCCCGTGGGCTCACAGGCGCACTTTGGTTGTTATCAATCCCGTAGCCTGCGGTGCCCGTGGGCGCGCTTTGGTTGCTACTGCTGTACATCCCTGGACTTGCATTTCTGTTTCTTAAAAGCAACTCTTTTCCCCCCACCTGGAGCCTTGTCCTAGCAGGAACTTCCAAACTTATTTTGGAAGGTCCTTTCTTCAGGGGTCTGCTGCCTTTGGGAAAAGCACAAAAAGCTGCTTCTTCTGGGTGGGCAGATGATTGCAAAGCATTCCTTCTGGCAGGATCCCATGGCCCTGCTCCAGGTGCATGGCATGGCACTGGCATGCAGGCCGGATTCCAGCTGCATCCCCACCCCCAGTCAGGTGCTCTTGTACAGTGGACAACTAAACGCGTGGGGCGGCCCTTCCAGGGTCCCACCTTTATGCAGGTGGCTTCATTCCTGTTTCCCAGCTTCCCTTGGCTGGAGCTTGTGTTTCCTGTCCTGTGAGAGAATTGGAATTCCATCTCCTCCCTGCAGACACCAACACTCCTCAGGCCACCTGGCAGCAGCTCCCACTCCCGCTGCTCCCCACTGAGTGCCCCCATTTCTCTTGCCTGTGATGTTCCCTTATTTTGAAGCTCACTACATGTGAGGAGGCTAGAGAGACGATGTGAGCTCGGTTCCAGAGCTTCCGGCCGCAGCCATCGACCTTGAAGGGGTGAGGTCAATGGCATTGGTAATATTAACGGCTAGAACACAGGAAGAGGACACCGAGCTGCCCCTTATGCAAATTGCACTGATGTTGCCAACACAGCTCTTCTCTGAAGCTACAAAGTCACAGGCCCTTGGCTGGGGGGACCCCTCTTGAGCTGCCCCTTCCTGGGCTGCCACCCCCTCTTCTCCACTGAGTGCTCCTGAGAGCAACCACAAAGAGGCAGAGCGCCCCACTTCACAGGCCAGAGCCTCAAGGAGATCCCAGCCTGCCAGGGGCCTCGTGGGAGCTGGAACGGATTTGTCCCAGGAAAACGCTGTGTCTCTGACGTGATATTGGCTCCTGCAGGTGGTGGGGGTGATAGCGTGGCTGGGGGTCAGGCCCCCACACAGCGTGATTGACTATGAGGAGCAGCGGACGGTGGACCCGGAGCAGGCCAGAGGGGTGCTCAAGTGCGACATGTCAGATCTGTCTCTGATTGGCTGCCTGGGCTACAGCTTCCTGCTCATGGTCACGTGCACAGTGTATGCCATCAAGTCCCGCGGCGTGCCCGAGACCTTCAATGAGGCCAAGCCCATTGGCTTCACCATGTATACCACCTGCATCATCTGGCTGGCATTTGTGCCCATCTTCTTTGGCACTGCCCAGTCAGCTGAAAAGGTAATGAGGTCCCCAGAAGGTCTCACTGCCTCGTGTTTCCCGCCTGTCCTGTGGTTGATTCATTCAGGAGCTTAAATGCTTGTTCACGCTTTTGTTTATCCCGTATCTGGCCGCTTGCTCATCCACTCATTCCCTTCTTACTTGGTTCATTCATTCGCTTATCCACTTCTAACCCAGCTTCTTAACTTCCACTCTTCTTTTTTATCATTTTCATGTCTTTGAGAAATGGTGCCTCACTCCGTCACTCAGTTAACTTTTTTTTTTTAATTCAAGTTCTTCATATGCTTTTTTTTTTTTTTTTGGCACAGAGTCTCGCTCTCTTGCCCAGGCTGGGGTGCAGTGGTGTGATCTCGGCTCACTGCAACCTCCGCTTCCCAGGTCAAGCAATTCTCCTGCTTTAGCCTCCTAAGTAGCTGGGACTACAGGCACACACCACCAAGCTGGGCAATTTTTGTATTTTTAGTAGAGACGGGGTTTCACCATCTTGGTCAGGCTGGTCTCAAACTCCTGACCTCAGGCGACCCACTCGCCTTGGCCTCCCAAGGTGCTGAGATTACAGGCCTAAGCCACTGTGCCCAGCCTTCACATGCTTTATAGCTGCCGACCGATCAATGTGTTAGTCCATTGCTACATCATTTATTCCCATAGAGGGCAGAACATTTTAGATACCTGTCATCCATTTGTTTGCCGCTCTGCTCCTGAATTCAGTCTCCGCCCATTTATTCATTTGCACGTATTTGAAACGTGCTCATTGGCTGGCTCTCATTTCCCCAGGTGTCACTCTCTGTTAATAACCCCTCCTCGCCCCTCCCTCCTGCCTGTATCAGAGCTGCACGGAGGCTGCCAGCCCCTCGGGCGCCAGGGCCTCGGCTCCTACTGTTGTCCTGGGCCAAGTGCTCCTTCCCCGTTCCCGGACTGAAACAGACTCAGCTCCAGGCTGTGTGGTGAGGCTGTGCGGGGCGGGGCAGGGAGAGTGGCGCTGAGTCCCACCTCGTCCCCTCCTCCGTGGCCTAGATCTACATCCAGACGACCACACTGACCGTGTCCTTGAGCCTGAGTGCGTCGGTGTCCCTCGGCATGCTCTACGTCCCCAAGACCTACGTCATCCTCTTCCACCCGGAGCAGAACGTGCAAAAGCGGAAGCGGAGCCTCAAGGCCACGGTGGCGGCCCCACCCAAGGGCGAGGACGCGCAGGACCACCAGTAGCAGCACGGGGGGATGAGGCCGCCCGCTGCCCCTCCTTTCTTCCTCTGGCTTCACGGTGGGAGCTGTCAGGAGCCCAGGCCTCCGGTGAACAGTCAGAGGAAGAGAGTCTGCAAGGACCAGGCCCAGCATGGGTGGGGCTGGCCTTGAGAAGGAACTGGACCCAGCTCTGCCCTGATGCCAGCACTTGAGCGTCTTGCTTCCTCACCACAGACCAGACGCGCTACCTATGGTAGGAAACAGCCACCGAGAAGGTCCTAACTCTAGAGAGGGACTAGACTTGTTCTCCCGTTCGAGGTTGGAAGATGATGATGCGGCCCCGGGCTTTGCCTGGTTTGAGGGAGATGTCCTCCCTCAGTCAAGCCCCGTAACCTGGGCACTGGGCAGTGTCGAAGAACGTGTAGATCCCGGAATGAAACGTGGGGTCAGAGAGGAGGAGGAGCTGTCTCAGCGAGGGACCTGTGGCTGTGCATCTGGACGGAGGCACGCCGGTCTGGGTAGGATTTCTCTGGCACCGAGGGAGAGACCCTGGGTGAGTCCCCTGCGAGCATGGGAAGGGCCTGCAGTGGGCGAGGGAGCGAGGTGAGGAACTGGGGTACACCCCCAGGAGACTCCTCGTGCCATGGGCTTTCCCCGCCGGCCCCCCCAGGATTGGGCAAGGTCAGTCTTAGAGTACAGCTGTTTTCCTCCCCTGGATGTACTCCCTTAAATCACCCCCAAATCTTGGTCAGGCACAAAGGCTCATGCCTGTAATCCCAGCACTTTGGGAGGTCCAGGTGGGTGGGTTACCTGAGGTCATGAGTTCGAGACCAGCCTGGCCAAGATGGTGAAACCCCGTCTCTACTAAAAATACAAAAAATTAGCGGGGCATGTGGCCGGCATCTGTAGTCCCGGCTACTCGGGAGGCTTGGGTGGGAGAATCACTTGAACCCAAGAGGCGGAGGTGACAGTGAGCTGAGATCACGCCACTACAACTCCAGCCTGGGCAACAGAGCAAAACTCCGTCTCAAAAAAAAAAAAAAAAAAAAAAAAAAAAAAAAAAAAAAAATCACTCCCAAACCTTAAGAAATTCAGATCCACTTGTGTAGTGTTAATGATGTGAGAACAAGGAGCAGGGATGCATTTGTGTTGTGTTTGGGGTTGAAGATGGGTTTAGAGCTCCAGGTTGGCAAGAGTGACAGAGAGTCATGTCTGTGGTGAAGGTTAATCCCAGATGGATGGCTCAGGAGGAGTCAGGCTCAGGATGGAAACTCTTCATTCCCCGTGTGTACTGGGAAGCCTGGTTTGACAGTTGAGCACAAGGCCTGGGAAGGAAGAGGCTTGGGCTGCAGATGTAGGCACATTTGTTTTTCATTGACAGTTTTTATAAAAAAGCTTGGTTTCAGTTATGGAATTCTGTGTCACTGGGGGTAAAATTTAAATTTTGTTAAATTGACTGCTGTTTAAGATCAGTGTACACTCTCTAGTATGTGATGTCTGGAACTAGTTTTGAGGGTGAACCACACTTTATCCAACATACGGACTCTTTCTCATACAGCTTCTCTGGTGCGTGGTAGGTTTTGACTTTGGGACTAGGTGGGTTTTTTTGTGTGTGAAACCTCTGACAAACATACTGTTGCACCACTGACTCTCCTTCCCCACCTCTGTGGCATTCCTAGGACTCCTCCACAGTTTGAATTAGGACGTTTCATTTGTTGCTGAATGCTGTCCAGAATGTGTTTATCCATAGGGTTTCTCTACTGTGCGGGCTCTCTCAAGCGTAATGTTTTGTTTCCTTGCCGAAGGTGGTTCCACACTTGTGATTGTCTAGGGTTCTTCTGTATGAACTCAGAGTCAGTGAGCTCTGATCTCCAAGTGAAAGTTTTCCTGCATTTTCTGTTTTCTCAGTGTTTCTCCCTGTAGGAATTTTTAATGTGCAATTAGTTTTGTCTTCTTGTTGAAAACTTTTCCACATTTTTTTACACTTGTGCTGTTTTCCCCACTCTGAACTCTATGATTCAGAATTAGGAGCAGTTCTTAGTAAAGGCGTTTTCACACTGATTGCACGAAGAATTTCTCCCCAGTGTGAAGTTTCTGGCATAGAGTCCTGGCTTCCTGCAGAAGACTTTCACACGGCCACGTTCATGCCTGTGGGCCTCTCTGGCAGGAATTCTATGACACACCGCAAGTCCTAACTACCTCCTGTGGGCTTTCTCACATTTGGTCTCCTTGTAGATGTTATCTTCACAGCATGAAGCATTCTGTGTACAGTGGGACATCCCCTGTTACTAAAGATATTATCATATTCACAAGGTTTCTCTACTGTCTGAATTTTCTGATGTATACAAATGACTGACTTCTACAAGAGGGCTTTTCCATACTCAGTGTGTACATACAGTTTCTGCCTGTGATCAGTTCTTTCTTATTATTTTATTTTTTTGGAACAAGGTCTTGCTCAGTTTCTTAGGCTGGACTGCAGTGGCATCATAGCTCACTGCAGCGTCAACCTGGGCTCAAGCAATCCTCCAGCCTCAGCCTCCTGAGTAGCTGGCATGCACCACCATACCCAGCTATTTTTTTTTTTTTTTTTTTTGGTAGAGATGAGGTCTCACTATGTTGCCCAGGCTGGTCTCAAGCTTCTGAGCTCAAGCAATTCTCCCACCTCCACCTCCCAAAGTGCTGGGATTACAAACATGTGTCATCGCACCTAGCCTCTTTGATCATTTCTTTGGTGTTCAGTGGAGGTTGACAACTCCCTGAAGATTTTCCTGCTTTTTGCATGCAGGGATTTGAATTCTTTGAGGTCCAATCAATTTATTTGGACTCCTGAAAAACGTATTGTGGGTTTTCTCCTATGTGTGGAATGGATGAGGCCATCTTCCAATGTGGTTTCTCTTCTGTCGAGTGAGCTGACCTACACCTACGGTTTTGTCCCATTCGTTGCCCTTGAATTATTTCTCCCATCATGAATTATATGTCCCAGTGAAAATGGAGTTCTGGAGGCTTATTCCACGTGTACACAGTTAAAATTGCAGTGTTCCTTTCTGGGATGACAGCTCTAAGGCAGAGTAAGTTTATGTTTTGACATAAGCTTTACCTGCCTATTTATAAGGTCTCACCTGTGGTCCAATGTGTTGACACTTATATCGAAGGGCTTCTGTATATTAACCATATTCTTAGGCTTTCTCACTTGTGTGAATCACAGCTTTGCCACATTTCTTAAACTTTTTGCTCTTTAGAAATGTCCCCCTAATTTATTGCGTTCATTGCTTGTGACAGAGAGTCCAGGGAACTGACTTTACTCTGTTACTTCCTGTGAAATAAATTCAGCTTTTCCTGAAAGTTTGATCTGGGTCTTCAGTTGCGCCTTTATACATTTCATGAAACTTCTTAAAAATGGAATAAAATGCACAATTCCAAGTGAATCTTCCCATCATTTTATAGAATGAAACTGCTTCACAAATACTCTTTATTGATACCTTTGTTTCTAAATTTGAAAAATTCCAAACTGTAAATATTTTTCACCCCTTGGGCTTTGATGGGGGAACGCTGCTGTAGGATGCACAGCCAGAGTGGAATATGGATGGTTATTACAAGTAGCTTGGGGGGTTTCAAAAATGACATTCCACCCTGTGGAGAAAAGGCTGAAGAAATGTAAGGGATAGAAACCAAGAAGGAATAAGGCTCTGATAGGAGGAAACTGGTCAATCGGATGGAACTCCAAAAGGTAGGCTAGAGTATAGAGAGGTACATTAGCAAAAGGACTGGATTTGGCTGGGTGCGGTGGCTCACACTTGTAATCCCAGCACTGTGGGAGGCTGAGGTGGGCGGATCACTTGAGGCCAGGAGTTCGAGACCAGCCTGGCCAACATGGCAAAACACCATCTCTACTAAAAACACAAATTTAGCCAGGCATGGTGGCACGTGCCTGTAATCTCAGCTACTCAGGAGGCTGAGGCACAAGAATCACTTGAACCCGGGAGGCGGAGGTTGCAGTGAGCCAAGAGATTGCACCACTGCATTCCAACCTGGGTAACAGAATGAAACTCTGTCTCCAAAATTAAAAAAAAAAAAAAATTAAAAAAAGGACTGGATTTGAAAATTTTCAGCTTATCACTTCATTTGTGGAGTCCTGTCTTACTCCATTCAGGCTGCTATAAAAGAGTACTATAGACTGAGTGGCTTCTGAAAAACAGGCATTTCTCACAGTTCTGGAGGCTGGGAAGTCCAAGAGGAAGGCACTGGTGGACTTGGTGTCTGGGGAGGGCTGCTTCCTTGTTCATAAATGGCACCTTCTTGCTGCGTCCTCACCTGGTGTGAAGTGCGAGGGCACCTAGGGTCTCTTTTATAAGAGTTCTAATCCCATTCCCGAGGGCTCTATCTTCATAACACCCCAAAGGCCCTACCTCCAAATACCATACATTGGAGGTTAGGATCTTACCATTTGAATTTTGGAGCAACATAAATATTCAGCATATAGCAATTACTCTGTCAGAATACTAACTAGTCTTTCTGCTTCTAATATCTTTTCCCTCTTATTCATCCTACATACTAATATAAAAAAATCACCTTTCCATGGCACCATGGTGCCGTGACCCCATTGCTAGGGTCCCAGCCTTTTCCGGGTTGTGATTCATTCTCAAATCTACCTGCAGACTCTCCTAACAGAAATAGTAGAAGGGTACATCAGTCTAGGGGAACATGGCCCCAGGCACTGCTCACTGATACAGTCTGCCAGATTAGGTATGATCATAGCTCTCTAATATTGAATTTACCTGTAGTATCAATGTCTGAGTTATTTTTCCCATTCTCGTCTGCAGACAGGTAAAACTTCCAGGGCACACAGATCTCGTCTTGCCCATGCCCTGTGTACTTCTTTAAGTCAGCTTTCACATCTTGACCTTGCACTGTGTCATGGTTACGGCTTCTTGAGGTCAACTGCAGCTCTGCTAGATGAGTGACCTTGGGCAAGATACTCATTTCTCCCACAGTCACTGAAAGCCAGAGTCCCCTTAATGCACCCTGTAGAGGTGCCCAAATTGCTACCATTGGACCTCCCAGTCCTACCAATCACTGCCCACACAGGCCCCACTCACCAACTCAGCCCCACAACTGAGCGGTCCCCGGACCCCACCTCACACCCAGGTAACCCCTACTCACGGGCCCCCACAAGCTGCCCATTCATTGTTAGTCCCACTCATAGCCTTGGGTGCTTACTCTGTGCTAAGCACCCGGAATACATCAGCAGACAAAACACAGGAATTGCTTCCTTCAGGTGACTTGCATCTAATAGTGGAGACACACAATAAACAACATACGAAACTAATAAATAATATTGTATGTTGGAGGGTGACATTCTGTGGACAAAAGAAAGTAGCAAAGCAAGGTACAGAGAATAGGGAAGCTGGAGGTGATGGCTGCAGTTCTGAATAGGGCAATCCAGTGCAGGCTTCCCGGGAAGGAGGTGGGGAGCGAGCCACGGGGATGTGTGGGCAACAGGCTCCTGCGGGCAGAGGGGCGAGTGCCAGGCCCTAGGGCAGGGGCCTGCCTGGTGTTTTCGGGATCCAGCAAAGAGAGTGGCATGGAGGAGTAGGGTGAGGGAGGGAGGCAGCAAAGTGGAGCAGTCAGGGCTCTCCAGAGGACAGAGCCCAAAGGATCAACAGATTAGACATAGATATAGATTAGATAGTAAGAGTTTTGCTCCGAAGGCCTTCAACTGATTGGAAGAAACCCACCTAAATTATTGGGGGTAATCTCCTTTACCTAAAGTCAGCTGATTGTAGATGTCACCTACATCTACAAAACACCTTCATAGCAACATCTAGATCAGTGCTTGATTGAATAACTGGGTCCCAGAGCCTGGCCAGGTGACATGTAAAGCTAACCACCACCTGAGGCACTGGCATATGTATATTGTGTGTAGCCCTGTAGGCCAAGGCCATTAAAATCATGGACTTTCTTTTACTCTGGGTAAGACGAGGAGACACTGGAGGGTTTTAATAACAGTTACCGGGTCCGACGAACTAACTAAAAGGACCACTCTGGCTACTGTGTTGAGACTGTTTTAGAAACATCTGTTGTCTTTTTGGAGTTTATTACATGCGGAATAGTGTGTATTACGTGCGGAAGAGTGTGCTTAGACACCTTTATTCATAGAAGCAACGCTTCGCAATCATACGCCCAAGCTGCACTCTCAGCAACACCTTTTATACCCGTGTTTTTAAACAGGGCTTTACGTGCAGAAACAGTGTAGTGGGCACCTTCATTCACCGGACTAACACTGCTCTCAAACGTGCACTGCTAGCATTCTTAGAAACATCTTTTTTTTTTTTTTTTCTTTGAGACAGAGTCTTTCTCTATACTCTAGGCTAGAGTGCAGTGGCATGATCTCAGCTCACTGCAGCCTCCGCCTCCCGATTTCAAGTGATTGTCCTGCCTCAGCCTGGGAGTAGCTGGGATTACAGGCACCCACCACCACGCCCAGCTAATTTTTGTACTTTTAGTAGAGACAGGGCTTCACCACGTTGGCCCGGCTGGTCTCAAACTCCTAACCTCAGGTGACCCACCGGCCTCAGCCTCCCGAGGGGCTGGGATTACAGGTGTGAGCCACGGTGCCCGGCCAGAAACATCTTTTGACGTGTACTTATGTTTTGGGAAAAGAATAAAAAGGAGAGAGAAAATGAGGTGAAGCGAACTTGGGCTGCCAGAGCGACTGACTCCCGCAGCCCACGGCGGTACAGCTTAGGGGGTGAGGATTCGGGTTCCATCACAAAGCCTTCACATTCAAAGCCCTCCTCTTAACTCTAATGTGATCTTGGTCAAGCTGCTTAAGTCAAAGACTCCTTGTCTGTCAAGTAAGCATGATGATCATATCTAGCTGATAGGTAACCATCCACCCCTACAAACTTGAAGGTTTCTATATAAATTTCATGGCATAATGTAGGAAAAATGCACACTGCCTGGACTCATAATGAGTGCTTAGTGAACCTATCTCTCATGCGATAATGGATGAGTATAAAAACCATTAGAAAGACTAAGAGAAGTTCATGACTAAAAAAACCTAAGAGACAAGAAGGACCACGACCTGCTTCTCAAGGAATAACCATCGATGCGTCCTTTACCTATCTTGTCTTCAACTCGGATGGATTCTGAACAGCTGCATAACTGTGCTCCCAAGATCCCGTTTATCTCTAACTTCAGGTATCCATGTTTTCCTGCCATAGACTCTTGTAACAAACCTCCTTCCTAATGAACCTGTTTAGTTGTGGCATTATCTTCACCTCACCATCCCAGCCCAATGCCACTTCCTGCTTAAGAAGTTTAAACTATAACCCTGGTGACAACAGCCTCCAAGTTTCGTCCTCTGCCTGGGTATGCACTGATCAAGAACAGCAGAAGTCATATAACTAGATAAGAGTTTTAAAAATCTTCAGTCGACCTCTATGTTTTTAATCAGTAACGACACTAAAAACTGGATGATAAAAGATTTGCCTGTAGGTATGTTACTGAGATGAATTAGCGATTGAACTTCAGGTGATTAAATACGTTTTCCAACTTTGGAATTTTTCTTCACTGCTAGGAAAATTAATTGAGAGAGAAAGAAAAGCAGTTTGAAACTTTTCCATTTTCTAACACTCTGGTAAAATGTATATGATTATAAAAACTATCTGGAGCTTGGAAATTTGAAATACAAAACCCAAAACCAGGTAACAGCTTCCTGTGTTTCAAGTGCTACCAAGGCCCCCTGCATGAACTGACGGGCCTGTGTGGTCTTACAGCTTCAACTGATGGAAGGCAGGGAGGGCAAAGGGGGAAGGAGGAAGGGAGGGAGGGGAAGGGGAGGGAGGAGGAGGAAGGGGGAGGGGGAAGGGAGGGGGGAGGAGAAGAAGGAGGGGAGAGGAGAGGGAAGGGGACGGGGGGAGGAAGGAAGGACTTCAGCAGGTCTGCTGCCAGTCACCACTATCAGAAAGGCCGCTGGGTTTTATTCTCAAACTGCTGCCTCTCCAGGGAAAGAGGTCCTCCGGGTGAGCGTTCCGCCTGCCCTTCCCCTGCATCTTCACCCAGACTCCCGGCTCTCTCACCCCCGTGAGGCTCAGCCTCAGGCCTGGTCCAGAAGGTGTGGATCTGAGAAGGGGGTGAGCCACCAAGGGCCGCAGCCTCAGCCTCAGCTGCGTCAGGCCTGGGGTCATCTGTGGTTTGCCTGCATGGGACCTTTCCACATCCCTCCCTTCTTTGGAGAAAAACCCTGTTTTTTTCCTGTGGGCCCCTCTCTCCCACTCTTGGCTCATGTGGTTTGCATGAACCCCACCTCCTTAGGTTCCAGGTGAGCACGTGGCCCCAGCCCTCTCCACCCACCAAACCCAGGCAGCACAGACTTTTCCATTAGGTGGAGTAGACACAGTGCCTACGGCCCAGAGTGTTTCTAGGGAAATGTTTTCAGTTCTCCTCAAATTGGAAGGAAAAAGCAAATGATCTTTTAGGGTCAAATGCCAATGCAGTTGTAAAACAGATTGTACAATGTCACATAGTCATAAAATAGTTATGAAATATAGTGTATATATTTTAAAATTTTCCTGTATATTTTGTTTTAGCCAGGTGTGGTGGCTCACACCTGTAATCCCAGCACTTTGAGAGGCCAAGGTGGGCAGATCACTTGAGGTCACGAGTTCAAGACTAGCCTGGCCAACATGGTGAAAGCCCATCTCTACTAAAAATATAAGAAATTAGCTGGGTGTGGTGGTGCATGCCTGTAATCTCAACTACTGGGGAGGCTGAGGTAGGAGAATCACTTGAACTCAGAAGGCAAAATTTGTAGTAAGCCAAGATAGCACCACTGCACTCCAGACTGGGTGACAGAACAAGACTCTGTCAAAACAAAGACAGAAAAGAAAAGAAACAAATCTTTTGGCTGGGGACAGACAGAGCCTGCCCTTCCTGGGGCTGGCCAGTTCTTAAGAGACAGCGAAGACTGAGCTGGGCATGCCTTCAATATGCACTAACCACCCAGAGCCAGGCCTCCTCTCTCAGGCTCGCACACCCCGGGAGCACCGCTCCACTGCCTTCATCATCCCTGAGCTGGAGACCAGGCACTTAGGGACACCCCCTCTCCTTCTAGATTACAGCCCACTGAAATTACTCAAACTAGTCAGTCTAAACTATTCACCCTGCCCTGCCTTTCCCTCAGAAACCCAAAGAAAGGCTCTGGCTTCGTGTTTTCCCCAATACGCCCTGACTCCTGTCTTCCTCCTGACTGCCCTGGTGCCTCACCCACATGGCCCTGTACGGCCTGCCCTGCCTCCTGTCTCCAGGAATAGTGAGTACACTTCCATTTTCCTGAGCCTCTCCTCGGCCTCTTTTGGCAGCATCTCCTTGACCACCTCATAATAGAATACAAAACAGGACGGAAGTAACGGTTTCATGCAATTTTGTGACGAGTAAATGAATTAATATATGCAAAGTTCTTCCAATAGCATCTGGTACTAAGCATGCCCTCAAAGGTGAACTGTGAGCCCCAGTGATGGGGGTACAGCTCTTCATACTCCACAGTGTCAACACTCTGCCTTTGAGGACCACATAGGGTTTCAATGGTCATTGCCAGGGGCTTGGGCCAGGCTGGCTACAGAGAGAAAAACACTTGGAATGCTTCTGGCCGTGTCTTAGCGCCATCTAATTAGATAACCAGGTGACAGAAATGCAACTCATACATCTTAGAAAACTGGGCACTTATTTTATTTTCAGAAAGACACACCGATGAAGAATTACTGTCAACATTTTTTTAAGGATAGTGATGTGGGTACACAGGGTGGCACATGGAACACAGAAGTCTCAGTGCCACCCAGTGCTGGCACCTGCAGAGGATGACTGTCAGCACCACCAAGAGGCCCTTGAGTGATGAGAATCAACCAAGCCTTGCATTCTTTTCCCTTCACAAACTGTTATAAAAATATTTAAATTGCCGGGCCAGGCAGCGGTGGCTCACGCCTATAATCCCAGCACTTTGGGAAGGCCGAGGCGGGTGGATCACGAGGTCAAGAGATTGAGACCATCCTGGTCAACATGGTGAAACCCCGTCTCTACTAAAAACACAAAAAATTAGCTGGGCATGGTGGCGCGTGCCTGTAATCCCAGCTTCTCAGGAGGCTGAGGCAGGAGAATTGCCTGAACCCAGGAGGCGGAGGTTGCGGTGAGGCAAGATCGCGCCATTGCACTCCAGCCTGGGTAACAAGAGAGAAACTCCGTCTCAAAAAAAAAAAAAAAAAAAAAAAAAAAGCCGGGCGCGGTGGCTCAAGCCTGTAATCCCAGCACTTTGGGAGGCCGAGGCGGGTGGATCACAAGGTCGAGAGATCGAGACCATCCTGGTCAACATGGTGAAACCCCGTCTCTACTAAAAATACAAAAATCCAGCTGGGCGTGGTGGCGCGTGCCTGTAATCCCAGCTACTCAGGAGGCTGAGGCAGGAGAATTGCCTGAATCCAGGAGGCGGAGGTTGCGGTGAGCCGAGATCGCGCCATTGCACTCCAGCCTGGAAAGAGCGAAACTCCATCTCAAAAAAAAAAAAAAAAAAAAAAAATTTAAATTGCCAAAGATCGATTTAGCAGGAGTTGAGGTGGGCCAAGAAGTGGGGAGCCCTCCAGCTGCAAGACAGAAGAGGGTGAGAGACTGGCATCTCCATGGTGTACTGCCAGCTGAGCCAGGGCTACAGGGGGAGGGGGGGCAAACTGCAAAGGAACAGGAAGAAAAGGAGAGGCATCAGACTGGGGGAGGCTATGGTGTTCTTGCATTAATTCTGAATTACACTGTTTTCTCCACCAAAAGCATTCAGTTTAAAGCAACTTTGTTCCAAGACTCTGAGGCTGGGGCACAGTAACCTGGAAGCCTGAGTCTGCTGCAGGGACAAAGTGCTGTTCTGGAAGCAGTCAATGAATATGGAGGAAGGTAACGTTTTAGAGAGGCCACTGTCAAAGCTGGACAAACAGGAAGGCAGGGAGAAAGAACTCAGATGACACATCAGTCACCTGGAGATGAGGGGCACCTGGCAGGAGATGGGCAGAGGAATCTGAAGGAGGAAATACGAAGCAATTTTTTTTTTTTCTTTAAAGAGGAGGCAGTTTCAGTGGCTGTTCCCAGAAGCGAATAGAAATGAAGAACCTATCAAAGTCTAGATGCTAATTCCCTTCTCAAACCCTCCCCCTGGGCTGAGTGGAACTGGCAGCGGGATGGGTCGCAGAAGGCTCCAAGATGGGAGGAGAGGCCAGGCTCTTACCTTTTTCTATGGCCCAGGTGAGGGGCGGGGAGACTGGCTTCACGTGAAGCTCATGGTCGTGGCATGCCAAAACAGTCTTGTGCACTACATGAAGCAGGTGCAGGCTGGACCTGTAAAGACGGAGCTGCTAAAGGCGGCACATGACCAGGTGGCCACGTCTGTCCCTGAAGAGTCCCAAATCAGTGGTCCTTCATCTTGTCACGGTTATGTCTACATGGCCATTAGGACTGGAAAAGCAAGGTACAGAATGAACTGCTCTTTCTAGGAAACACTGGGTGTTTGGGGATTAACCCAGCTGAAGGTGGGGTACAGAAAACTCCCTCTCAGTAACTGCTGAAATGTCAAACACTGCACAGATCAGCTGGCAGAAAAGACTGTGGCTGAGGAAGTCTTACTGCAGGGTCCTCAGAAATTTACTTTTAGGGGTTGGGCTGGGGCAGGTTAAAATGCCCAGGTAGAGAGCCATATAATCCACGTGAGAAAAAGACTAAGACCCAGGCAACGCGCACTCTCCTCACTGAGAAGGCCACGTAGCAAGCTCGCACTCATGCAGTCAAATACAATGAGCCACTGCCTGGCCAGTTACTAGTACCATAAATATGTTCAAGTCAGCCTGGGCATGTCTAATAGGCCAGCGACTTACTTTTTGCCTTCCCAGACAGGGATAAGTGAACAGGCATGTTGGAGGACTAAATCCATGAAAAACCAAGCCTGACAGAAGAGGAACTCACGGAGAGCGCACCGTCATCTCGGACGGAGGGGCTGCAGGCTGCACTTAGGCGCTGGAGCATAGTTCCTGAAGCTGTGGCTGAGATGAAGGAGACTCTTGAGCTGGGTGCAGGCCTTGGCCCTGGCTCAACTGTAGGCACATACCAAGTAGTGGTAGTTCTCATGCATTGATTACAAATAACCAACCAACTCAGCTTAGAAACGTGCTTCTTGGGGATTCAAGGTAAGGGGGTGGTAGTTAAGACCTGGCACATCACATGGATAGGGCTGAAGGCAGACATCTGTAGCAGTGAACGTGACTTTTTCAGATTTACTCTGGAATCTCAGGGTGTCAGCCATGTGAAGCTGCAGATGAACTTCTGTGGACATGGGACACAGACAATCCCAAGAAACCTCTTGGAACAGTGCTTCGCGTGCAGCTTAATATGGGAGAAAGTCTGAGTTGCTGGTCATCTAGCAGGAGATGCTGGCCCACAAAGGTGGCCTTTATTAGATGAAGACTGAATTTAGATTACTTGGACTTTGAAGCTGCTGGAAGCTTCCAAGTACGTTGCAAGCCAGAGCCCACTGAGTTCTACCATGATATAGAATATCCTCTTCTGTAACATGGGGTGAGGTGCTGCATTCTGAGGGGTCAGCATTGCTCAGCCTGACAGAGAGCACGTCCACAAACCAGGAACTTGCCACTTCACTGTCCAGAGTAATTTGCTTGGCCTCCCATCTTCATGCATGGTATGTTCCACCTGGCGGTAGTGCAGGCTCCTCCATTCCTTGTGGTAGGGAAAGGGAGAGGGCCCCAGAGGCTGTGTGTGTGAAGGAGCACAGATGTTATTTTATCTGTGTGATTTCTACTGAAAGCAACGAAGGATTAAAGATGGTGAAGGAACCCTGCCTCCCAGACTGCCGTACCACAGACTTTTGAACATGGACATGGCCCTTGCCAGGAAATGTCAATGGTGCTACTGACCACTTCGTGACTCATGGAGTTACTCAACATTTTTCTCACCATTGTCAGCATGAGTCCTTAAATAGTGAAAGGCCTAGATGGAGGAGAGGAAATGACCACTTCCAAATGCAAAAGCAGAAATGCAAAGCTGTCTGCTTTCCTATGAATATAGAATTAATACCTCCAGAAACCTAGAAAAAAGCAGGGGAAGGACTAGGATGCAGCAGTTCATGCTGAGAGCAGTAAACGTACTCCAGTGCAGTAGACACGGTGCACTGCCCAGCGAGGGAGAAGAGAGCGGGTCAGAGCACTCTGAGAACTGGCCTTGGGGCTTTCACCTCTTCTATCAGTTGCACACAGGGAGATGGGAAATGACAGATGGAGGTGGTCGGGAAGACTACAACTAAAGTGGGTGGAATCATTGCACCAGAAGCTGAGCAAGTCCCTGACTGATGTGTAGATTCACTAAGTATACTACAGAACAACTGGAGGGTAAACGTGACACAGGCAAAGCCCCTACTTCAGGCAGCATCCCAGGGTCAGTCAAGCTGAAGCCCAGTGGAAATGTGTAACTCAAGAACTGTGATCAAGCTTTGCCTTCCAGACAGAGACTCTTAAGTTCTGAAAGCTGTATTTGGCTGTGATATTCAGAATCATGGACTGTGTCTGAGACCAGATCACCACACTCCCCATTTGGGGCAGTGATAGGTGACACCATGCAGACAGTGAGGAGTTGCTAAGTGAGAAGAGGGTCGTTTAGGGAAAATAATCTCACAGGGATTCTACAGGGATGAAGCCAGTGGACAGGCAGACAGAGGTATCTGACAATGGATGGTTTGCAGCAGAAGGTAGGAAGCATAATGTAAATAATTATGGGTGACCCATGGTGACTGCACTTTCTTTATACTGGGTGTCAGTGGTTTGGGTGAAGAGAGGACTAAAGGTTCCATTAGAGGTGGCAACTCAACTCTCTCATGTAAGAGAATCTAGTAGAGTGAAATGCTTGTAGGCCATTTTGACTTTTTGTTCTTTTGCTTCTCAACTTTAATTTTTATAATTTCATAGTTTCTCTAATCATCAAGATGTAATTTGATAAACCAATTTTAATGCTGTTAATTGTTAATGAAGCTCCATTTTGGTTCTGATAGCTGGCACTTCAGACTAATGAAACACTACTGCTACTTGAGGCAGTATTAAAGAATGAGGAGTGTTTGCCATTCTTAAATGCCCAAACCCCATGACACTGTCAAACTTGACCCTCGGTAAATAAAGTGACTATCTTGATGCAAGCTTTCATAGTTATTCTCTAGAATGGATTATCTTACATTCAATAATTAATTTACTCAGTCTCAAAGGTCTTCCATACAAACTACATTCGTATCACTTTTCTCCAATATGATGTCTCTGATGCTGAATGAGATTTGCAGTCTGGTTAAAAGCTTTCCCACATTTATTACATTTATAGGGCTTCTCTCCTGTGTGAATCCTCTGATGCTGAGTAAGGTGGGTGCTTCGGATAAAGGCCTTCCCACAGATTTTACATTTGTAAGGTTTTTCTCTAGTATGAATTCTCTTATGTTGGGTAAGGGCTGAATGGTCACTGAAGGCTTTTTCACATATATTACATGTATAAGGTTTTTCCCCAGTATGTATTCTCTGATGTTGGGCTAGTGCTGACTGGTCCCTGAAGGCTTTCTCACACAAACCACATCTGTAAGGTTTCTCTCCAGTGTGAATTTTCCGATGCCGTGCAAAGGATGAATTATCCCTGAAAGCTTTCCCACATTCATTACATTTATAAGGTTTCTCTCCAGTATGAATTCTCTGATGTTCAGTAAGGGAAGAGTTTACCCTGAAGGCCTTCCCACATTCGTTACATTCAAAGGGTTTCTCTCCAGTGTGAATTCTCTGATGCTGAAGAAAACTCGTACTCTGATTAAAGGCTTTCCCACATTCATTACATTTATACGGTTTCTCTCCACTGTGGATATTCTGGTGTTTGGTAAGATGTGCCCTGCACACAAAGGCTTTTTCACAAATGTTACATTTAAAAGGTTTCTCTCCAGTATGTATTCTATGATGATGGGCAAGGTGTATATTGCGGATAAAAGCTTTTCCACATAAATTGCACTCAAAAGGCTTCTCTCCGGTATGAATTTTCTGATGGTAGGTAAGTGAGGAGCTCACTGAGAAGGCCTTGCCACATTCCTTACACTCATAGGGTTTCTCACCAGTGTGAATTCTTTGGTGATGGATAAGGTGCGTACTCTGGTGAAAGGCTTTCCCACATTCTCTACATTCATATCTTTTCTCTTTAATATGAATTTTCTGACTTGTTGTTTTTTCAGTATGAATTTTCTGATGTTTATTAAGAGTTGAACTCTTAGAGAAGACTTTTCCACACTCACTACACTCAAAGGCTTTTTTGCTGGGTTGAAGTCCCTGGCTTTGAGCACTGTGAAGAGATGAGCTCCTAATGCTCCCAGGAACCATCACATTCCTGTTCACCGATCCCAGCGCGGGTGTTTGGGTGAGTGAGTGCTGCTCGCTGCAAACTGATGCTCTGGCCTCCACACTGCCACTCCAACAGACTAGCACATTTCCAGTAACTACTGCTACCCAATCTTTCGTTTATTGTCCATTGATCCAATTCTTCTTCGGGAATCTCTGCCTTGAGAGTAGACTTCTTACGGACAGGCACAGCCATCCAGTCTGAAAGACGTTAAAAATAAAAATGTCCATAGTAAAACATTTGCATGGGACAAGATGATAAGCCTGTTCATAATGCTAACAGAGAGTTGTAAGCTTTTCTGTTAGTCCCTTCTTTTGCCCTCTTTTCTGCCCTTTCTTACTGTTACTTCAGAAAATTTTCTGAAAGTAACAGTAAGAAAGGACAGAAAAGAGGGGTGAAGAGGGGGTGATGGCAGGGGTTGGTCTCATGTGTAATAGACGAGGCAGGAGAGCTTGGAAGCGTGATCTCAGACGTCACAAGCCTCAGTTAGAATTGAGAACAACACATGTTTTCTTTGTGATAATAGAGAAGTTTTCTTATTTCCTAAGCCTCAAAAAAAAAAAAAAAAAAAGAAAAAAGAAAAAGAAAAAAGAAAAAAGAAACTGATAAAGACCACATAATGTTAACAGACAAGAAAAAAAGCACCCTGTCTATTCAGAGATGGTTTTTAAAACAACCCAGGTGTGGCCTTAAGAAGCTGTTGAAAATAGCAGTCAACACTTGGTAGGAAGAAAACCTTGATCCAGAGCAATTACTAAAATCAAGATGCAGGCTCATTTGAGCATTCAGGTGAATAACAAAAAGCTAGGCTGCTGTACAGGCTGTGTGAAATGCTCCTATCTACTAAAAAAATAAAATAAAAAAATAAGGACCTCCTATTGCTTGTGAGGAAGCAATGTCTCCAAACCCATATGAATAATGTGACATCTATAGGAGGAAAATGTACCATGAGATATTTTGTGGCAAAGTTATCTCAGGATAAACACTGCAGCTGTAAGCACTGCCGGCAAGGTCACAGTAGACTTTTCAGGGCAAACAGGAACGGGGCTAAAATGTAACACTAAGGACTAGATTCTAAACACAGATGATGCAAAATTCATCAGAAATCCCAGAAAAGCCATCCTGAGTACTTCCTTTTCCCACTCGCTCCAGAAAATCTTTAAAAGGCACTTCCGGTATTATTTTAGAATCAAAGAAACAAACCTCTTTACTTACCAAGAAAAGAAAGGTAAACGGGCACATTTCAAGACTAAAATCCTGTTGAGCTCAGAATTGATACATCCTTGCTCAAAACAAAGAGTGGTCAAAGTTAAACATCAGCATGGCCAAAGGTCAAAATGGTAAGGACTACTTTCACCTCTGGCAGACTAACATTTCTGCAGAAAACAACTAGGACATCTGAACTGAAAAAAGTTCTCTGTCTGAAGGCGTGAGATGTCACCCAGACAGACTTTATAGTCTAATATTTGGGAGAGAATGAAAATATACAGAGGTGATCCCAATACTCAGTGGCTTGTTACTCAAACAATTTACTGAATTCTTAAACTTTACAGGGCAAAAGAATAAAGTTAAGCAGATATCCAGAATTTTCTATAGTATTTTGGTACTATGGAACCAGGACCTTCCAGGGAGAGGTCATAGTAGACACGTGGAGCTCTGAGCTGGTACTCCCAGGTCTACAACCTAGTAGTAGGGGCAAATGAGCAGTTGACAAAGCTTTATAAATATTGTGACCAACCTCCAGCTATTACAGCCCTTTGGTTGGATGAGGATAGTTTGCTTACACTCTAGCTGCTAGCAGGGAATTTAAGTCTTCTCTGGAGGAACAACATCTAGACCCTTGGCTCTTCTTCACACATAGTATCAGGGACTCAATAAAAGTCAGCTGTGCTAAGAAATTGAATGAAGGGCAAAAAATAGACAATAGAAAAAGAACTGCAGAACACAAATAACAGAGTTATCAGATGTGAACATTAAAACAGCCGGGATTAATATGCTCAAGGAAAGAGGAATGAGAGTTACAAGAAAGAACTGGAACAGAAAAATCAAATTGAAATCCTAGAACTGAGAAATACAAAAACTGAAAGTATGAATTCAATAGATTTTTAACAAGGTATCAAACACAGCAGAAGAGAGGAACAATGAGCTACAATAATACATAAGCAGAAAATATCCATAGTAAAACATGGCTAAAAATATAAACATTTTTAAAAAGAGAAAGGCTGAAATATGAACTCCGAGTAGCGCCATAAGCTCCACGGATAACTACAAAGAAAGTCCACCTAGGTGCCTCACCTAGGCATACTGAAAACCAAAGATTACCTTGAAAGTTGCTTGAAGAAAAATGATACATTACCTTTGAAAAAGCATAAATAAGACTGGCAGCATCTTAATGAAAACGATGGCACCCAGAAGACAATGAAGTAGCATGTGAAGTGAAGGAGCCTAACCGCCAAACTAGAATTCAACACACAGAGAAAGTATCTCTAGAAAGTAAACATGAAGTAGGTATTTCCATAAAAATAAAAACAGATCACGTCACCAGCAGATCTACATAAAAAGAAACACAGATGTGTTCCAGGCAGAAGAAAAATAATTCCAGGGAGAAAAAAAAAAAGAAATGATCTCAAGAACCCAATAAACAGATTTGACCTCAAATTCTCAATTATCCCCCATTAAGCTATACTTTCAGGCCAATTCCTATCAAAATTCCAGCAGGAATTTTGTGAAAATTGAATCGCCAATTCTAAAATTCTAAAAGAAAAGAAAAGAACAAAACTAGAGAATTTACGTCAGCCAGTGTAAGGCTCATTATAATGCTAGAGTCATTAAAGCCATGTTGTGTTGGCACAAGATTGGATAGAATGAAACAGAACAGAGTCTGTACACAGAGTAGAAACAAATCTGTACACAATCAGAACAAGGGAACAAATTATAGAACCCAGAATCAGACTCAAGTACCTCATGCAGTCACCTCATGTATGAGAAAGGTGACCGTGCAGTACAATGGGGAAAAGATGGTCTTTTCAGCAAATGATCCTGGGTCAACTGGATACCCATATAGAAAATAATGAGTAATAAATCTTCCATATGGACTGTAGACCTAAGTATTTAAGACAAAGTACTAGAGCTACTATAGAAAAACACAGATCTTCATGGCCTTAAGACAGGCGTCCCCAAACTTTTTACACAGGGGGCCAGTTCACTGTTCCTCAGACCGTTGGAGGGCCGCCACATACTGTGCTCCTCTCACTGACCACCAACGAAAGAGGTGCCCCTTCCTGAAGTGCGGCGGGGGGCGGATCAATGGCCTCAGGGGGCCGCATGCGGCCTGCGGGCCGTAGTTTGGGGATGCCTGCCTTAAGATGTTCTAAATAGAACAGAACAAGCATTCACAATAGGCAGGAAAAAAAAAAAAGACTTCTGATGAATTCAGGTATCTCAAAATTCAGAATTTCTATCTATCAGATGACATAATTATCCAGAGTGGGAAACAATATTTGCAATGTGTATATGTGACAGAGGATTCTACATTTCAAGTATACAGCCCTATAAGCCAATAACAAAAGATAAGACAACAAAATAGAAGTGGGGGGAAGATTTACAGATATTTTATAAAAGAGGATATTGAAATACTAAAAATTAAAAGATCAACTTCAGTTATAAGCATACATCCTCTAGAAAGGTGGAAAAAATTTTGAATGACAATACTAAGTGTATAAGAGATGCTATGGAATCCTCACGGTACGCTGGCAGGAGTATGCATTTGTATAACCACTTCGGAAAAGTATTTGGCTATGTCCATTAAAGTTTGCAAATGCACAATTATAACACTCCTAGCTATTTAATCAAGAAAAATGTGTACATATGTTCTCTAAAAGTTGCACAAGAAATGTTCATAATGGTACTATTTATAATAGCTCTAAGTAGAAATAAACCAAACATTTAGCAACCGTAAAATGTACAAACAGTAACAGGTTTACACAGCAAAACATTATACAGCGATAGAACGAACCAACCATTGTTCCAAGTGACAATAAGGATGAATCTCAAACATACTGTTGAAAGCAAGAAGCCAGGCCAGGTGCGGTGGCTCGCGCCTGTAATCCCAGCACTTTTGGAAGCCAAAGCAGGTGGATCACGAGGTCAGGAGTTCAAGACCAGCCTGGCCAATATGGTGAAACCCTGTCTCTACTAAAAAATACAAAAATTGGCCAGGGATGGTGGGGCACAGCTGTAGTCCCAGCTACTTGGGAGGCTGAGGCAGGGTTATCGCTGGAACCCAGAAGGTGGAGGTTGCAGTGAAACAAGATCACGCCACTGCACACCAGCCAGGGAAACACAGCAAGACTCCATGTCAAAAAAAAAAAAAAAAGAAAGAAAGAAAGAAAAAGAAAGAAGCCAGATACATACTGTATGATTTAAAGCTTAAAAACAGGCAAAACAAATCTAACGCCAGGGTAGTTGTTACCTTTAGGACAAAAGAAACTGACGGGACTGGGTGGTGGTAATGCTGTATTTCTTGATATGAGTACTGACAACACAGGTATATTTAAACAATAAAAATTCATTGAATCAGACATTTATGATCTATGTAGTTTTCTGTATGATGTATATAGGAAACAGTTTCTGTATAAAGTTCAAAAGTTGCCTTTTAAAAATTTGGGATATGGCTTTCAAAAATAATAAATAAAAATACCAATTTCTATCTATCTTTTCTATCAGCTATTAGATACTGATGTCTATTAAAACCTTTTCTTGATTGTGATTAAAAACACATCATCTATATATCACAGAACATATGACTTAAAATATTTTTTGAGGGTAATTATTTGACTTTTAAAATATTCTATATTACATGATAACACTCATCTTCAAAAGGATTTTATCAAGACGGGAGTCAAATGTATTTTGGTTTGACCACACTGAAAATTAATGAGGTGTGAATTAAGCCAGTTCAGTAAGACTGGACTTGCTGGCACTGATTTAGCCTACAGTATGAAAGAGCACTCTGGTGTGAGCAACTCAGTCACACTCACAGGGTACCAAGTCACTTTACGGTAGGCTGAATTAAGGAGCTATACCCTATGGGAAGAGATGGCCAGGGGCAGACCTGTGTTACTTTATAGTTAAATGATTACAAGCTTGCTTTGCTTTTCGTACACCAAGATTTGTGCCTGGATCACATCCAAACTATGGT